TTGCCGTGTGCAGGGCAAAAGCTGACAGGAGCGTATGCCTTGTGCCGAGCGCCCAGTTTCCTTTGTAAAATAGTCAAGACCCTATAGGAATAAATCGCTCCCAGGATGTGGAAAGCAGAGTGCTGGACTGAATGACAGCCAGACACAGTCCTCTGCTAGGCAAGAATTAAACTGAAGACGGGGGCGGAGAGGGGGGAGGAGGAGGAGGAGGAGGAGGAGGGAGGAGGGAGGAGCTCCAGGCCCTCTCCAACACACCCAAATGACCAGATTCATCATAGCACGAAACTTCACAAGTTACACCCACTCCCTTGCCGGCAGCCGGGAAGGCTACAGCTTCCTGATTTCAGTTACTGGAAGTTTAAGAGATGGAAAGACAGCCGGGAGTGCGCGCCTCGCTGAGCCACGGGTGAGCTTCGGAAAATTCGATCCATTTTCCGCCGGTGAATCTCCTAGGGGCTGCTGGCGCTGGAGGCTGCGGCGCGAGAGACTGTGGTGAGGATGGGTGGGAGCCCCGGAACCCTTAACTGTGGCCTGAGGCGGGGAGCCTGAATGGCTGGAGCCCTGGCCCTGCTTAGTTTATGCGCGGCTACAGGGCGCTGTGCTGCTCCGCTGAGCTGCGGGAAGCAGGCTGCTGTGTGGGTTCTGACCCCCTGGAAAAGGGCTTCTGGCTCGGAAACTTCTCCCTTGCTTTACCGAGGGTCATTGTATGGGAAACGGGACGGAGACGGTGGGACCGATCTTGACACCCGCCAAAGATGCTTCCTGCTTCGGCCCCAACCCTGCTGCGCGCCTCCAGCAATTACTAAGCTGTGTATGGGTGGGGAGGTGGGGGATGGAGGGAATCCCTTTGGAGAGGTTTGGGATTCTAGGCTGGACTGGTTTTCAGATAGTCTGAAGCTGTGGCTCCGGACGAGCACCTGGATGGGAGTTCCAGAATGAGGCACCAAGTCTCAGGTTTTCCTACTAGTTTTGCATTTAGGTTAGTTGTGCTAAAAGCCCCTTGCCACAGGGGAGCTCAGTTTATCTGGAACTCCTTTTTAATGTGAGTTTTTCTGCCGCAGCCGGCTGATCTTCTGATCCATTGCCTAAGCGAATTTTGGGTGGGGTGAAGAGAGGAAGTTTCGCTGGAGGGTGGCACGGTGGGGGGGGGGAGGTTTGGGGTCTTTGTAAGTGACAATATCATAGCAAAGCATAAACTTGGCTCCCCACCCACCCACCTACCCCCATGTCCTGGTTTTCCTCAGGCTTTCCTGGGTGTGTGGTTAGAAGGAAGTTTTGAGGCTGACATACCTGTTTTGCTTATTTCAAGTCTGATCAGTAGCTGGGTGATGCACTTGGAGCCAGGATTTTTGAATGCTTATTGTTAGCCAATCCTTCATGAAATTACTTTTAGGATAAAAGGTGCGGAGATGGATGGGGCTTCGGTTTGCAACTAACTATCCATTTTGCAACAAGCTCTCCCCCAGTTTGGAGTGAGTGGAACCGGAGGCGTTCCCAGCTGATCTTGTCGTTTTCCTAGCGTTGGGGGGGGGGGCGACTGTTTGGCTGGCTCAACAGTCTTCCACTCAGGTATTGCAGCTCAGGGCACAGGCTGCTGGGGCCACAGTTAGCTTGCTGGGAACCTTCTGCTTCCTTGAAGGGAAAGACCTGTATGTGAAGGAATGCCTCTCCAACCAAACTAGACCCGTCCCCAGGGAGATCAGGTGGTATGGCCCAGGCTGTCACACCTGGTAGTGGCTCCAGAAACAGGCTCTAAGCATGATGTTGTCACGCCTACTCCTGAGGAACCTGTTGTCACTCTACAGGCGGTGGCTGAACTGGATCTTGTGATGGCAAGGGCAACACTGAGTAATAGATGGAGTTTATGGAACAGTAACCTTCAGAGAAAGGGGAAGCAGTGATTCACAGACGAAAGGGTCTTGGGTAGTTGTCACTGGGGACTGTTATGCGGATGCCTGAAGCTGGGGTTGATTCGGCCATGGGGCCACTAAGTTTCTCAATAGCTCCAATTCTGGTGCCATGCTTTTCTTTTGGCTCCCTCTCCCCCTCCTGGTTTGGCTCTGTTTGCCTTATATACTTTTAAAGTTTGGAGTTCAGTGTGTCACAGAGATAGGACCACTGAAATTTTGTTTTAGTAACTAATTTTCGTTGGAAGCTTTCCAATTCTTCTAGGGTTTGAAGTATATCGGTGTACAGTTAGTTATATTCGATAGACTCCGTTTTTAAAGACTGAGGCATATGTAAAAATGTTTCCTTTTCCATTCTTGGCATTAGTTATTTATTCCTTTTCTCTCTTTCTGTGTGTGCCTGTGTATGTGTGTGTGTGTGTGTGTGTGTGTGTGTGTGTGTGTGTGTGTTTTACTGGGCCAAATATACATGACATGCCAGGCAAGTGCCACACCATTAAGACACACTCCCCCAGCTGTGTATATTTTCCTGATCAGTCTTGCTAACATGTTGTCAATTTTATTGCTATTGGAAGAACAACTTGGTTTGTTTGTAGTTGACACACAAAGCCCACCTCCTTCCTGAATTAAAAACATTCAAGTGAGCATCTAAAAACTTCTGCCTTATGGGATGCTGTCAAGAAAGGTTTTATGACATCCTTTGAAAACAAGCAACCGAGTCCTCCAGCTGTAAGGAGGAAGACATTATGTACTTCTCTTTGCATCTTTGATGTTGATTGTATTTTTCTGTTTATTAAAGCATGCCTTCTGTGTGTGCACATCCTACATATTGGACCAAATTGTTCCAAGGTGGGTTTTGTGGATTCACTGGGGCACACCCAGTGAAATTGTTTTAGAAGCATCAAGCCAGAGTGTGCGTGAGGCTTGGAGGTAATTTAATGTGAAGTGTGGGAGCATTCAACGCTCTCAGCATACACATTTACCTTGTGCAAGAGTAGACAAATTGTGGTAATGACTGGGGAGGAACATTTCATTTCTGTTCATATTTAATGCATGAGCCTGAGTGTTTTAAAGTTTAGTGCCATCTTTCTGAGTGTGTGGCAATCCAAGGGCTTTGACTCGGGCTCTGCCAGTGAACTGTGAGGTCTCGGGATAATTACTTTTGAATTTCCATATCTTCAGTGATGAGATAAATATGCAAACCACTTGCGGTCGTGGGATTTTCCTGAGAATATCTAGGTAGGACACTTTTCATGTGATTTGGCACACACAGGCTCTTAGTGAATGGAGGCTCATTGAGTGTCTCCTGTTTCCTGTCCTTTCTTGTCATACTTCGAAGCTCAGCACTTCTCTCTCTGTCTGCCTATCAGAACAGTGAAAGAGGATAAAGCAGACTTGGAAATGGAATAAAACAAAAGTGTTCTTTCTCCCTATCTATTCCCTCTTCATTATAAGTGAGTGAGGTCACCAGGGACACCTTTTAAATTTCCTGTTTTAATCTTAGTTTTCTAGTTAATTGCTGGTAAAGTGATTGTGTATTTCTTCTCTCTATTTTTTACTATATCTTCCTGGGATGATTATTATTTTTCAGTTCATCTCATCTCTTTTCGTTTTCCTCCTCACCTTTCTCTAATTTCCTTTTGAACGAAGTGACATGCTCTTAAAACCATACACTTAACCAACACCAGGAAAACGTGCCTGGTATAGCCGAGGTGGGAAAATGAATGTTCAGGGCTGTGGTGATTGCCTGGAATTTAGAAAGGAATATTGGGTTTTGAGGTCCCCCAACCCTAAGCCATTTAATCTTCTGAGAGATTGGCAGCTGAAAATGTCCTGGGGAATACATGGTAGGATGTGCTCGTATTTCTGCATCTGGAATTACAAGGAATTACAGGGTAGGAGAGAGGGTGAGCTGGAATAGCATTCATTTGCATTGTGGTACCACGATCGCTGTTCTCCACTGTGCCCCAAGGCTTGAGCCCTGGCTTGTATATTGTAACGAGTAAGCTTCAGGTGTGGAGTTCTCTTCCAGGAAGACAGACACACAGCTGCTCTTGGTCCAGCCTGTCTGCTCGGCTAGGCTGGCGGTGCTTTTTGATTCCAGTAGATGTCAGAGATGGGGAAGAGCAGAAAGAGTTCTCACACGGGCCTTGCCCTTCTTTGAATGCCTTTGAACCAGCGTTAGCATGACGTTCCTCCGGTGAGCGTTTGAGGGCAGTTATCACCACTTTTGGAAAGCTTTGCTTGCATAGTGGATTAGTGAGGACTGGTGAGACGTCCTGATCGCAGGGTTTCATTCAGCCACCCTGGCGTCTCCACAGTCGGTAAGACCTGGATGGGTAGATATAGTCAGTGCCGCACTATCTGTAAGCCTAGATTAAGAGCCTGTAAATGTCCCTGGGGTTGCTCAAATACCAGTAGTGTATTCCCAAGCATCCACATGGCACTCAGCACAAAAGTACTGTCTGTGACCTGTGAGGTGCTTTTCCTGTGTCCTCTTATTGTGTGACTAAGCTTTTCCTAGGGAGACTCAACACACACACACACACACACACACACACACACACACACACACACACACACACTTTGTATAGGGATCCCACAACAGACCAAAATGCAGATACCACCAAAGTCCAGCTTGGTGAAGCAGTGAGTTTTATTGGGGTTACTTACAGGGATATGGGTGAGGGGTCACTTACAGGAGCAGAAATGACTCAATGACAGCTGCATCGCCAAGGCCCCCCGAGCATCAGTGACAGCTCATAAAGCTGGGAACCTGGAGTATGTCGCACAGCCTGCGGGCAGCTCACCAGATTATCCTTTCCAGGTGACTCTGGTCTAACCCTCGTCCAGGCAGCTGGTCTGGTCTCGGAGACCCCTTTACAGCTCTTACTGCTTTTTATTTTTTTGAACTGGTCAGTTTCAGGGACTTCCTAAGGCTATTTGTTTAGTGGTTTACCTTCATGCTCAAGGAACTTTCCTGCAGGGTGGAATGTTTCAATCTTGGAGCAAACTGTTATACAACACCCCTTAAGAGTGTTCTTGAAATATATGCAACACAAGCCTAAACCCGTTCTTTATCTGCTCTGACAGGTAGAACCCTTGTGGACTGAAACCCACCTTTCCAGACCCAAAAGCAAGGCTGAGAAAGAGGAAGGGAGATTCAGTCCCAGAGACGATGGTGTTCTGAATTCCAGTCCCTCTCTCAGGACGTGAGCAGCCCCTTCAGATGGCACCTTTGGAGACCCTGATGAAGGCTCTTCTCTTTGGCCTGGGGTAAGTGTGGCATTTGCCTGAGGCTGGGGAATAAGCGTTTGACCTCCAAGACCTTTAAGTGTTTATTGTCTCAGAGTGCCACACAGACTGCTGTCTGGGGACAATGGGAAGTGAGGTATTGGTGACTGGATTCGGTGGGAAGGAGGCTATTGTCCTCCCCACTCAGAATCGGAAGCTTTGAAACTTGTGAGGGCTTCAGATTCTCAGGGGTGCAGGCGTGTGGGTTCTTGCCACTGTTAACGTTGTTTTGGAGACCTCAGAGATTGAGTTCCTACCTCGGTGTTCCGGGCTCCCCCTTTGCCTGCTTGTCTGGTTCTAGGAAAGGGGAAGAAAGAACAGATTTGACGGCCCAGGGGGAAACGTGGTGTCCCAATGTGTGTGTGTTGTCTATAGGATCGTGTTAAATGAGAGAGGTCGGTCTTCCTCTACCTGCAGAATGTGCTTGGAGAAAGCATGACATTTCATGGGAGTGTCATCGATGTGGTCAGACCAGACACTTTCATTGTGTGAAGAGCCTGAAGCTTTACCAGGAGGGATCTAGGGTTAATTAAACATGCATGTTCTGAGTCACTTGGAGGAGCAAGGCTTCCAAAAGACATCCTTCTTTCCTCCTTGGAGACCCAACAGAAAGGGAGGGCTACATACTTTTCCGCTTTCGCTCTCTGAATGTGGATTTCATTGGGAGAGAATGATTAACACCCGAAGGTACTTTTGAAGGGGTGGAGCCATGGCTCAATGGCTAAGAGCATTTGCTGTTCTTCCAGAGGACCCAGGTTCAATTCCCAGTGCCCATGTGGTGACTTATAGCTGTACATAATTCTAGTTCCAAGGTATTCAGTGTCCTCTTCTGGCCTCCACGGTTGCCTGCTTCACATGTAGTGAGTGCCTTTATATAGACGCAGGCAAAACGCTCATACACATAAAATAAATATATTTTTTTAAAAATGGAGGTTTTTGAGCCATAGGAGGTTGCTATGATTCTTCCCAAGTTTGCCTGCTGCTCACTAATTTACCCGAGCCTTGGTGATGGGACACTGTATATTCATTTTTTTAATGGTAAGAGGCTGGGGGCTGCCGACTTTGAACAAAACAGGAACCAGCATGGCAGCTGCTTCCTGAGGCCTGACGGACCCCTGCAGCTTCTAAGGTTTCCCACCAGCGTTCCAGGTCCTGCTGGTGGGTCCTGCTGTAACCTGTTAGTCCAGTATTGCCTGTTGCTGCTCTGAGCCAGCCCTGGCCACGCCCCTCTAACAAGCCCAGCAGCTGCCAGAGAAAGCTCCTTGGGTGTTGGCGATCACCCGGTGCGATCCTAATTGGGTTAGGTACTCTTTTCCAGAGGTAGAGGTGATGTCTGCAAGAACTGCCCCTGTGCAGTGGGGCGCTCTGACCCTCCGTCCCTTGCCCCTGGGAAGCATTTTCCACCTTGTCCCTTTCCCATGGACTCCCCGTGGCTTCCTTCTTTGCACGAGCTAGCACGCCATGCATAATGGCTCCTCCCTGGCTTAAGTCAGATGTCTAGAGCAACAAAGTTGCGAATCGCTCCCTCATCTGTCCTCCTGAGTGCTCCGAGGACTCCTCTCCTGTGGGGCTGCTTGGCCTTCCCCTTCCTACGCCATTGCGTGGGTCACAGGGGCTACATAGGATATTGGGGTGCTTCAGGAGAGGCTGCTCTGAACCAGTCTTCTCAGCTCTGTCACAGGACGGGCTGGCCTTGCCTTGCTCCCCCAGCTCTCTGCTCCGTCATTGTTTACCTCTCCCCAAGGTGGGTCCACCTCCTCCTGGTGCCTTCCTACTCTGGACTCCTGACCTTTCAACTCCACGTATTGCTTCCCCACTCCTCCTCTTGAAGGCCTTGCTCCCCAAGAGTGTATTACAAATCTTTGGGGGGCTCTGTCCATGTAGCGAGTACCGAGGAACTGTTTGAGGTCACCTAAAACCTGTCCACAGACGCCGGGAGAGATGTCAGGTTTGTTTCTAAGTTCTTCAAGGGAGGGGAAACACCGAGGTGAACCAGCCGGTTTAAAAGGAAGCAAGGGGGCCGAGCTGACGGGAGCCTGTGCTTGTCTGAACCCGTGTGTTTTCACACTGCGGCCGCTCCAGCTGAGTTATGCGGTGGATGGATGCATCATCCCTTGGCGTTGAGTGCAGGGCCCAGCCATCCACCCCAAGGGAGCCAGAGCAGGTTTATGTGATGAATAATGTCCATTTGCTCCCAGTGCTAGGCCTGTGGCTAAGCGAGTTCCATGGAAACGGGAAGATGAACTTGGCCAAGCTTTGTGCTCCATCCCCCCACTCTTGAAAGATACCAAAGATGTCAGTTGGAATTCAGTGTGTTGAGTTTCATCTGGTGGCCAGCCATATTCCATAGCCATTTCTCAGCAAGATACCAGACATGCTCTCCTTCTTGGGTGTGTCCCTCATTTTAAGGTGGTGGAAAGATGGCTAGCCTGGGAGTCAGAGAGCAAAAGGAAAGAGACTGCATGCTGGGCATGGTGGCACATCCAATCCCGGCCAAAGCAAGCTGATCTCTGTGAGTTCGAAGCCAGCCTGGTCGACATAGTGGGTTCTAGGCCAGCCAGACCTACTTATCGAGACCCTGTCTCTAGGTAAATAAATACACTACACACACTGAGCACCTACTGTGTACCTGGCATTCTGTTAAGTGCTCTCAGTCAGGCTAGGGAGACAAGTTCCAAGATCTTCTCTTTGGGTCTCAGAATACACAAATGTTCAAGCTCCCATGGTACTGTACGCCTCATCCTGCATGGTTGTTTTTTTTTTTTTTAAACAATCATTCGAGTATATTTCTTTTCTTTTCTTTTTTACTATTGATCCCATTTATCTCCCCGTCTCCTCACATCTGCCCTCTACCCTTGCAACCCCCTCCCTACCCCCACAATCGAATTTAAGAGACCAAAAACCAAACCAAACAAAAAAAGCATCATCTTGTTTTGCTGTAACTCATTTCTCAATACTTACAATGCCTAATACCATATAAATGCTATGAAATTTGTTGTTGTACATTAGTACTTAGGGAATAATGACAGAAGTTGATCTTTACTTGTGTTGTATACATGTACTTTTTTTTCAAGTACTTTCCAGTCTACAGCTGGTTGGATGTATCAATGTGGAGAGGTGGGCACAGGGGGCTGACTGCGTGACTGAACCTCCTTCCTGTGGCATGTGTAAGTCTCCTCTTTGAGTCTAGAACTGGGACCCACAGAGCTGGGCTGAACTCCTGTCCACACTCCATCTGACTTCTGTCCCCATGTGCACTGAACTTCATTCAGTCCTAGAGAGAAATAGGCCTTAGATGATGATGTCTCATGGCCACATTGACTCTAGAGAGAAACAGAGCCTTTGATGATGACGTCACGTTGACTGTACAATGCGGAGCCTTTGTGCTTATTTCTATGCTGACAAGGTCTTTAGTGTTTTATGAATTGGTTAAAGTCAGTGTTGTTTGAAACACCATGACTAGGTATGGTTTGAGTATCAGGAAAATGATATTTGAAAAACTGAAGAACTAGGAATCTTGCTTTAGCTGTAGATATCTGTCCACATGTGGAGTGTATTGAGCTGGCTCTTTGAATTCCCTCAGAAAAGTTGTTCCATTTTAGTCTTTTCAAGGAGCAGGAGACCATCTTGGTCTTGAGTGGCATCTGTCTGTGGTATATACTGGAGACCATCTTGGTCTTGAG